TCATAGATTTGTGCAGCATCTCGGACTTTAGAATATGTCTGCGTGCAGGGCTACAAAATCTCCTTTGCTGTTGTCAAAAACATGCAAGTATCGCTGACTTCTGGCATCATCGAATTCCATAACCAGGACATCACCGTCGAGTCGTCTTCATCCCACGCAGTGAATTTCGGATCATCCGGTTTTGGTCCCATCCCAAGAAGATGACTCAGTTTGCCCTACCCTTTCAAGAAGGTTCGAACAAACTGAGACCACTTCAAATAGTTTTTTCCGTTGAGACGTAAACCTGTTTGAATATTCTGCAACTCTCCTGCTGCAGTGTTGATGACTTCATTGGAGACTTGCTGATTGACAGATTCGGAAACCTCAGTCATGATTTTGGACAGAAGTGGAAAAAAATCTGGGCTCAAGAAGACTGATTTGAAAAGGAAGAAATGGTTCTGCAAAAAATGGCAAAGCAGGCCGGAAAAAATGGAACGAGAAGAAGAAAAGAAAATGGCAGTTTAGGCCCAAAAAAGGAAAAAACTGGAACCTTTTTCCAGAAACCTTTTATGCGGCAATGCAGGCCACAAATTTACACGGATTCTCAGAGAGCATTTAGCTCTTATGCCATGTGAAATAATGGTAATATTATTATTTATTTAGCAATGTACAGGGAATATATATATAGGCAAACAACAACCAACAAATCTGGAATATTGACTCCTAGAATACAATCCCTATAAATCAGGGATATTAGCTAGCATAATATACATTCTAATTACAGGACATATACACAGCTGTAATACACGTTTTCTCCCCATCTAGTGAGCTGTAAAATCTGCACAACCTATTCATACCATAATTACTGATTCCAACAAGTTCAAGTACCACTTGGTTAACTGGGAGAGCGTGTGTTCCCCTATGAATAAGGGGGGTTTGGGGATTCAAAGGCTGGATGTGTTTAATAAGGCATTGTTGGGCAAGTGGTTGTGGAGTTTCAGGACAGAAAGGTCCAAGCTTTGGAGACATGTTATATCTTGTCATTATGGGGAGGGCGATAGAGGGTGGATTTCTAGGGAGGCTAGAATCCTAGAAGGTATGGGCTCTTGGAGACTTATCCGTAGAGGTTGGGATGAATTCTCCAAACGTATCCGGTTCAAAGTTAGAAGCGGGAGTAATGTCAGGTTTTGGGAAGACAGATGGTGTGGGGGTTCGGATTTAGCTAGTAGATTCCCTCGTCTTTACCGGATTGCTGTGGCTAGAGATGCAGTGGTCGCTGACTATTATCGTCTTGATAATGGAAGGGTGACTTGGGATGTGCAGTTCTGTAGTCAGTTTCATGATTGGGAACTTTTGGAGGTTATAGACTTCCTAGCATTCATTTATAGACAGGTGGTGATCAGGGTGGGCATGGACGAGATGCTATGGGTGGGTACCCCGAGAGGAGTGTTCGAGGTCAAGTCCTACAAATGCCTGTTGGAGCGCCCTGGCCTATGTTTCCATGGAAAACCATTTTGAGGACAAAAGCTCCACTAAAGGTGGCATTCTTCTTGTGGACTGTCGCCTTGAAGAATCCTTACTATTGATAACCTTAGAAAAAGAAATCATATTGTGGTTAACAGGTGTTACATGTGCAAGAAGATGGGGGAATCTGTTAACCATCTCTTAATTCATTGCTCAGTGGCTATGTTCTTGGTTACGTTTGGTCTTCCATGGGTGTTCCCAGAATCCACAGTCGACTTGTTAGAGACTTGGAAAGGGTGTACAGTGGAGAGCTGTGTCAGAGATGCTTAGAGGGCCACTCCCCTTTGTATTTGGTGGGGTCTGTGGCGCGAAAGAAATAGGAGATACTTTGAAGGAGAGGAGTCTCCTATTTGGGCTACTAAATACAATATTCTTACTTCTTTATTTTTTTTTGGTATACGGGCGGGATTGTAATTCAATGGATGGTCTTTTGGATTTTGTTGATAGCTTATAGCTATAGAATTGATTTTGGTCGGCTGTTGTCTTCTTTGGGAACGCTCCCCTTTGGAATATTTAAGAGATACTTTGAAGGAGAGGAGTCTTCTTTTGAGCGCCTTATATAAAACCTTACTTGGCAAAAAAAAAATCTAGTTCAATAAATATTGAACTTATGGAAAAGAGACGAAAATGAAGCATAGTGCTTATAACTGAATACCTCTTAAGCGATATGCAACACTGAGATTTTGCATGTACGGATAAACAAGAATTCTCTCAAACGAGGTTGTACAAAATCCGATCAACCGAAGAAGATTCCGGTGAACAGCAACACTTATCAATTGAACTTCCCTCAAGAATGCAGCCTCTCCACCTGGACTATGATAATCTGTCAGGCGTTTCACTGCAACCTTTGCATTGTTTGCAAGAACACCTCTGTAGACTTTTCCAAAGCCTCCTTGTCCAATTATGTTGCTCTCGCTGAAATTATCAGTCACAAGTTGGACCTCACGCCAGGAAAATCTTCTCAGTTGGCCAAAGGAAAGTTTACATTCATCTTCACCTAGAGTGAGAAAATTTCAGAAATAAATAATAAATGCAACAGTAAGCAAACTGAAAATATAAACAGCATAAATTTCCATGCCTGCTTCATAAAAATACATTAAAAATCAAGCAAAAGATCAGGTTACTGGCAGTGAAACAGGATAATCAATGAAAGCAGAGGAAAAATTGAACAAGTTCAGAATGTGCTCCAATTATTCATGTTTTTCCGTTTGAATTCTTAATTTTACATGGACAAGGATTTTACACTAATAACTGGTGCAGTAATTTGTCGTCACACATTAGTCAAAACTCCAGTATGGTACTGGCAGGGAAAAGCATGCAATACATTTGAAGATTTTAGTTCCTTGCTCTATTTATGGAAACATTGAAATTGCCTAAAACCACTTTCTTACTTAGCTTCTTTAACCTTTTTTTTTTTTTTTTCACTTTCTTTCATGTTTTTCAGAAACCAAATAGATATTGTTAACTACCATCCACTCCAAAAGCTTAAGCTGTTGGAGAGAGTGCAACTTTGATATTTATATCCTTCAACACGCCCCCTCACGTGTGGCCTTCTTTTTTGGTCCAACACGTGTTTTTCAATTTTTAATTAGGGTGACGGTGAGGTTTGAACACGTGAGGGGGCATGTTGAAGATTAAATATTATAATTATACCCTATATAATAGCTTAAGCTTTTGGAGTAGATGGTAGTTAACAAATATGAACTGACAAAGCCTAGTTACAAGAGTGACTCACTAGTGCTCAAGTGTTGCTCCGAGATATGTCATTAGTAGCTGAAATTCATACAATCCACACAAGGGCTTAAAAGTAGATATCAATTTAAGCAGTGAACACAATCATAATTGATTTGCAAAATTTCAAGTTCCCTAATTAGCAACTAAAGGACTTAAATATGATGCATCATCTTTTCTTTTGACACTAGATATAAAAATAAAGAAAAGAAATAAATAAACAAAAGAACAAAAACTGCAAGTGAGTGCGTGATTCAGGCCACCCATAGGTTGATTTAGAGGGAAACCTAATTTGGTGAATTCAGTTAGAAACTGTAGAATTATTACCTCCATGGCCACAAAAAATTAAATAAATAAATAAATAAAGGAGACAATTCTCACCTCCACCTTGACAAAGTTCCAAGTATTAGAATATAGCTTTCTGGATAGAGGGTTTTAACCCTCTATTTCTTGTTCTTTTGCTCGTTTGTTAATAAATTTTGACTTAGGAAAAAAAAAAATGATTGCTAAGAGCCATTTTGTAGATTAAGTTAGAATGTAATATTGTCTGAGATTATGGTGGGATGAGAGGAAGGAGAGAGAATGAGATAAAGAGAGAACCAAAAGGTATGGAAAGAATGAGATACTCTCATCCCTATAACCACATATATGTTATTGAATGAGTATTAAATTATAAAACTACCCCCACTCCAAAATATTCTGCATCTTCTAACCGATTCACCATGAAAAGGCGATCTGATGACATTATTAAGCTAAGATACTGTTGTCTTTAAGAGAGAATCAAACTAGCAAAAAAGTAGAAGAAGATGAAGAAGAGAAGGAAGAGGAGGAGAGTAGAAATACAGAAGAAATATAAAAGAAGAAAAAGGTGAGAATTGTGTAAAGGCTTGAATGAGATAAATCACTCCACAGCTCTAGTATTTATAGATAAAAAGAGAACATACTCACATTACAAGAAAGGAAATTAAATCAAATCTAAATCAAATCACATCATATTCTATGGCATATTTTATGGCATATTCTAGAGCATAATCAAATCTTTGCTAATATAGTAAGTCATTCCATAAATCGTGGCTATCATATTTGCTAGCACTCCCCCTCAAGTTGTTGCGTGGATATTTGAAACGCCCAACTTGGACAATGCATTCTCAAACACAATCTTGGTGACGCCCTTTGTAAGAATGTTTGCAAGTTGCTGATAGCTTGTGACAAATGGAGTGCAAATCTGACTAGCGATGATTTTCTCTCAGATGAAGTGCAGATCAACAAATCAAAATGTATCCTCAGACCATAAACAATTAACAATGTCTCATCAGACCGTAAACAACCATAAATGTCTCCTCATACCGTAAACAACCATAAATGTCTCCTCAGACCATTTTTCTTCCTACACATGTTTAAAACATATAGATGGAAGAATCAACAGTCTCCTAAGACCATTCCCCTTCATACATATGTTTAAACAATGTATGTGAAAGAATCAACAATGTCTCCTTAGACCATAAAAAGAAACAACTATGTAACACACTGCTAGAATCATTTCATCCTTCCACCACATTGTATTTATATTAAGAAGTTTCAGAAATTACACATAAGACCCCAACATTATATAAGTAATACAAATAAGCCTTGACAACACTCCCCCTCAAGTTGGTGCAAAGATATTTCTCATGCCCAACTTGACTAACATATTTTGAAAGCAAGTCTTGCTCACACCCTTAGTCAAAACATTAGCAACCTAATCAAGTGTGTTGACGTATGGAGTACAAATCAGCCCACGATGAAGCTTTTCCTTGATGAAGTGCCGATCAACTTCGATGTGTTTTGTCCTTCTATACAACAAGGAATTAGGAGAGAATTGTTTTAGTGAAATGGTATTTCATTGATACTGAAAATGAAATACACGTACACTACTAATAGACTATACAAGGCATTAAAAAGGGAACAGGATAACTATACAACTAATTTTCCTTATTTGCAGAGTTGACCAGGCCTATATTTAAACATAAAATACAGCTAGGCACTCCCTAGAGATCAGCAATAAATCTCAGCCGCAATCTGTAGAGATCAGCAATAAATCTCAGCCGAATATTCTCCTTTCTAACTGTAGAAAATTCGGTTCTACAAATAAGGAAACCGTGTGTGTATAGCTGTAATTAGCTAGGAGATTTTGTAATGTTTTAGTCATTGTAATCCCTGATTTTAGGGAATTAGTTTTTGGTCAATATCTCTAGGATTAGACAATTTCCTAGTTTTAGAGTTTCCTAATTTAGATCCTCTGAAGTGTATATAACAGTGTAATTTCATTGTGATTTCAATACAATTGAATTTCAGCCCAATTTGTGTCATGGTATCAGAGCTGTAGGCTCAATTCTGGGAATTGTGTTTCTGGTCTTGCTAACTCTCATATCGCTAGACTGATTATTATTAATCTCCAACCCCACACTATCACCCCTCAAGACCGTAACCCTTTTACCAAAGACCTTGTCAGAAACAGCCGACAACAGCAACACCACGACTACCTCGAAGGTTCCTTTGATTGAAGGTAGCAACTCGATTCCAACAGGGGAATTGAAGAACATCCGGGCAGCGTACAGGTTGAAGAGGAAGAACTATCTAAAGTGGTCTCAACTGGTTCGCACGTTCTTGAAGGGAAGAGGCAAACTGAGTCACTTACTCGGTACTGGGCCTAACAAAGGGGATCCCAAATTTGATGCTTGGGATGAACAAGACTCTATGGTGATGTCCTGGTTATGGAACTCTATGTTGCCATAAATCAGTGATACATGTATGTTTCTTAACACAGCCAAAGAAATATGGGAGGCCGTGAAGCAGACTTACTCTAAAGTCCGGAATGCTGCACAAATCTATGAAATCAAGACCAAGATTTCATCCACCAAGCAAGGAAGTCGATCAATCACAGAGTACTCCAATCTGTTGCAGAGCTTCTGGCAAGAGATGGATCATTACCAGTGCATTCAAATGAAATGCAGCGAGGATGCAGCTCTCCTTAAGAGGTTTATCGAAAAAGACCGAACTTATGATTTTCTTGCAGGACTGAACATTGAATTTGATGTAGTAAGAGTCCAAATACTCGGAAAGGAAGATCTGCCATCACTTAATGAAACAATTGCAATTGTTCATGCTGAGGAAGGAAGAAGAGGAGTTATAATTGCGAATAACCCAGTGGACAGTTCAGCCTTGGTTACAAAAGCTGCAAATGTGAGGAACTTTGGCCGGGAGCAGCCATCTAATGAAGACAAGAAGCGGGCAGATTTTACAAGGCCAGTCAATAAAGATTCCCTATGGTGCACATATTACAAAAAGTCCCGCCATACTAAGAACAAATGTTGGAAACTCTACGGCAAACAAAAATTGGACGACAAAAGGTGGATAGCCAAAGGGACAGGGGCAGGCATATATGGCAAATATACAACAGGCTGGAGAAGTTTAATCTCAAGAATCATCTATTGAGTTCGATAGAGAGGAAATTGAGAAATTGAAGAATCTGCTAGGATCTTTGGAGAAACCATCTACAACAGGTAATTGCACTTTGGCGATTTCAGGTATATCTTCCTCTGCTCATGCTTTTAAAGTCTCGGATATATCCACCACAAGCTCCTGGGTCATTGACCAGGAGCTACAGATCACATGACCCACTCGTCACAAAAATTTATCTCATATACACCTTGTCCTAGCAATAGGAAGATAACAATAGCCGATGGTTCTATAACAATAGTGGCTGGTTAGGGAGATGTTTTTATAAGCAAAACCCTCACACTTAGAAATGTTCTCCATGTACCAAAATTATTTACCAACCTTTTGTCAATCCACAAGCTCACTAAAGATTATAATTGCATGTGGTATTTTATCCTTCTCGTTGTGTATTTCAGGAACAGGGCACAAGGAGGAGGATTGGACATGCTAGAGAAAGGGATGGTCTCTACCATCTTGAAGAACCCAGTAGTCAAGTTAGTGTTGCGAATTCCTCACCATTATCATTTCTTTCAGAGTCTTTTAAATCCAATAAAGACAAGATTTGGCTTTAACACCTCCGTCTTGGTCACCCGTCATTTACCGTCCTTAAAATTATGTTTCCTTTATTGTTCAAAGGATTAGATGTTGAAAATTTTCACTGTGATGTCTGTGAACTTGCAAAGCACAAACGTGCTTCTTTTCCAATAAGCAATAAAAGAACATCTGTTCCATTTACTCTTATTCATAGTGACATTTGGGGACCGTCCACTGTTTCTAACATTTCTGGGG